GGTATAAGCAAATGCCGTTGTGTGTGTGTGTCAAAAGAAGATTACAAACAAACTTAGAGTGACAATATCTCAATTCTAAACTGCTCTGAATGTATCGTCACCAAAATAAAGAACAATATCAAATCGCTTCGAAATGATAACAGAACAATGGAGACTTAACATGATATTACTTTGATATTTGTAGGAACATTAGAGATGAAATACGGAGGAATGGAGAGAGAGAGAGAGAGAGAGAGAGAGAGAGAGAGAGAGAGAGTGTGTTCGCTTACCACGGACACTGTGTAAAACTAAAAACTGTGGTAGGTGTAGTAGTAGTAGTGTGGCAATAGCAGCGTGAATGATGACAATATATGCTTGATATTTTCGTTTTAAAGTGCTTTAACTACCGTTCACGAGGTAATAGTTTTAAAGTGCTTCAACTACGAGGATTATGAAGCACCGTTCGCTGGGTCATAGTTTTAAAGTGCTTCAACTACGAGGATTATGAAGCACCGTTCACTGGGTCATAGTTTTAAAGTGCTTGAACTACGAGGATTATGAAGCACCGTTCACTGGGTCATATTTCTAAGTGCTTCAACTACTTGGACAATTAAAATACATCTTATTCATAATTAGTGCGTCACGAAGCCAGATGATAAAACACATGCTTTCTTTGTCTGGGCCTTGGCGTCTGTCTGTACCCCAACACCATGCTGTACTTACACAGATACAAACGGACGCACACAAGCTAAGGACCTCTGCAATACGGGACTACGTGAGTTTTTTTTTTTTTTTAGCGAGGACGGACCCACGTACACAAGAGGTTAAAATTAATTATCAATAAAAATGTATTAACCCTTTGAGGACGATAGGTTAAACCTTTGCGGACGATGATTTAACCTTTGAGAACTATAATTTAACCCTTTGTGTTATATGCTTTAACCCTCTGCAGACGATGATTTAACCCTTTGACGACGATTATTTAACCCTTGGACGACGATTATTTAACCCTTGGACGACGATTATTTAACCCTTGGCGAACAATATTTAACCCTCCAGGACTCGAAAGGGTTAACGGGCGGAGAACGTGTTAACAAAAGCTATTATGGTTTACTATTGCCTTAAAGAATTAAAACAAGCTAATGGGTGAGTTAATAGGAGTTAATGGAGTCTCTATTATGTCAACTCTGTGTTCCTAAGTAAACGGCGGCGGAGGGGGGGGAGGTCAGAGAGTGTTACGGTGGTTATTAAAAGTGTGTTAGAAAATACCAAATACCACAAACTCTTACGTGATAGACAGATACGGGATACTCAAATCTATTACAATTACTATTATAGAATGCATCGTCGACCACAACAACAACTGTATTAAGGGTTGTAACTAGAGACACAGAAGAGATTAAGGAGAATCATAACAAATACTGTTACTAATTTCCCCAAATATCATAACAAATGGGAAATCACAAATAAATAATAAAAATGGGAAATTATAAATAAATAAATCATTAAAAACGGGAAATAAAAAAACGGGGAAATCACGAATAAATAAATCATAAAAAACGGGAACCACAAATAAATAAATCATAGAAAATGGGAAATCACAAATAAATCAATCATAAAAAACGGGAAAATACAACTAATCAATTACTCTCATAAACACAAATACATCCAGTAGTCAGCAGAAGAGACGAAATGACCCATAAATGTCACAGGTATTTACGACTGCATTAATCAACCCAATTCCCACTTTTACTAACTGCTGTTGAGTTGTACAGAGGTAAAGTCCCCTTTGTTTTAATATTGTTTTAATTTGATTCTGTGGTATGTTTACTATTGCGAGTTTCCTTCTGTCGAATGTAAACAAACACAGGGCTGCCACACTGCACAAAACCTGACGAGTCCCTGTAAACGCACGAGTGAAGGGGACTGTATGTACTTCATCATACACACATCACGACACACCACCACCTCCTCTCATTAACACATCTATTGCCAATAAATTATGTGTCAACCTTACTTAATGAGTTGAATTTACCAAGACACTAAGCTGCTTAAACTGTTCTAATACTATTTTTGTACATTATATCATGATTTTTTTTAAAGGACAATTCCCAATTAGTGGATTGTTGGTTTTATAGAGAGATGTGGTCGATAGGATACATCACTCGTCTCCTGTTCTAAGTGTCGCTTGGTTCACGTCCGGGAGGAATGGAGGGTGTGGGGAGGGGTCTCGTCTTGTCGACCCAGCTGCGAATGCGTACCAAAAACCCGACCTTACAGCCACCCTATATAAGGTTTAGTATTAAGTGTGATGATACGATAACCTACCCTCCAAAAAACAAACAACTTTAACACTATCTTCCTGCTCTTTTACTTCCTTAATTACCTACAGCTAATAGAGTAAATATCTTCAATAATATAATAGCGTTAATTTACCACTAATACCGTTATTATTCGAGCTGTAGTGACGAAATTATTGGATATTTGACAACAAGTTTTAATCTGGTCATTATCCCTATGATAAATGTATAACACACACACACACACACGCACACACACACACACACACACACACACACACACACACACACACACACACACACACACACACACACACACACACACACACACACACACACACACACCAGTCTCAGTATAATTAACATATATTTTTACCTCAACTACAGATATATAATTTTTTCTACAGGTGTATATGTGATGTATGATGTATAATAATAACCAAATTTGACCATCATTTTAAAATATACCAGTAGTTTTTCGTTGACTCGAGGTATTTAATTCACACAGCAATAATGATATTTCACCTTAAACACCTGTCCAGTTAAATCACCTTTGTACCTTTTTTTCTCTATCTCTCTATTTCATTCTTGATGGTCTTAACTTCATCCCAAAATTAGAAAGAAATAAAAATGGAGAAGCATTTAAGTTATTGGATTTTAATAGTTGATTTATCTGTTTTAAATTCTTTCTCTCTGTAGTTGAGGTAAAAATATATGTTAATTATACTGAGACGTGTGTGTGTGTGTGTGTGTGTGTGTGTGCGCGCGCGCGCCACTACACTTCACTATATAACAACAACAGCTAAAAGATGAGTTAGTTCTTTCTCTCTGATCAATAATTTAGTTAAGCTTCAGTGTGTTTCAGCGACCATGGGTGGGTGTCAAGTGGATTCTACGCTTGTTAGAGACAGCACGTACTCCAAGTCAATGTATTCAGTATTTCAAGGTCTTTAAGTACATAGTCAGTTTATTCCACCACAGTTTATTTCACCTTGATGATTCAACACCCTAACGCTAACATATTATACCTAACCTAACCCTTTGGCGTTGATGATTTAACCCTTTGACGATGATGGTTTAACCCTTTGACGATGATGGTTTAGCCCTTTGGTGACAATAATTTAACTCTTTGGCTTACGATTTATCTCTTTCACTACGAAGATTTAACCTTTAAAAGACGATAATTTAACCCGTTGACGACGATGACAACCCATTGGCTACGATGATTTAACGGTTTGACCCTTTGGCTACGATGATTTAACCCTTTGAAGACGATGATTTAAACCTTTGAAGACGATGATTTAAACCTTTGAAGACGATGCTGATGTTTTAACCCTTTGACGGCTATTATTTAACCCTTTAACGGCTATTATTTAACCCGTCAGGACTCAGTTCAAGCCTCCAGTCATAACAAGTCAGAAGAAGATTAGTGAGAGACTGCTAGCCAGTTGGGAAAAGGCAAGAGATATCTCTCTTGGGAGAGGAAAACTTGCAGTTAAGGACAGCTTTGCCAAGCAACTGGACCAGTTATTTGACATAATTACTTGCAAGTGCCCAATTGTTCTCTGTCCTGAGTTTGGGTGCGATCGTGACTGTAAATCCGAGGCCCCTAACGGCTATTATTTGACCCGTCAGGACTCAAAGGATTAAAACCAATACATCTCGAGGAACATATATAAAGAAAAACAATGCCTACATATGTAATACAAATGTTTCACCGTGAAGAAAGAAACAAACTCGCAACACACCAAAAACAAAACAAGTATTGGTCCTGTAAGTATTTGGTGTTCGTTTGTGTTATGTTATTAAGTGTTATTATAGTGTCGGGGTATTACACTCTGTAGTCAAATTATGTTTATGGGTGTATACAGTATATAGTTCCTGAGTGTATGTCATGTGTCGTCATCTGAACCCAAAACAGGAAGGTAGAGCAATAAGATCTAGTTAAGATTAGTTGCTATAATGTTAACCACTTGTTGCTAGTTACCATAATTAAACGATCTGACCTTGTTACTGCCTACCATGAGGACATTTAAACACAATTCATTTTAATCTAATATTTTAAATGATCATAAATATTTGTTCTTCTAAATGTTTAAGACACAGTGAAGTTGTAACTCAGCCAAGAATGTTCCTCTGAAATACTCTTGAGAAACATTTGGATCACATTATATTTTCTAAAGGACGATATAAATTTGGTTTTGATCTTCCGGGAGAGTTCCTGAGTTAAGAGAGCTATGGGAGCTATGAGTGAACGTGATCGTGTAGTTAAAGGAGTATGTATATATGCAGGTGTATGTATATATACTGTGACAAGTATATCGTTGAGTGAACTGTGACAAGTGTATCGTATCATGAACTGTGGCAAGTGTAATCGTATAGTGAACTGTGACAAGTGTATCGTATCATGAACTGTGGCAAGTGTAATCGTATAGTGAACTGTGACAAGTGTATCGTATCATGAACTGTGGCAAGTGTAATCGTATAGTGAACTGTGACAAGTGTATCGTATCATGAACTGTGGAAGTGTAATCGTATAGTGAACTGTGACAAGTGTATCGTATCATGAACTGTGGCAAGTGTAATCGTATAGTGAACTGTGACAAGTATATCGTATCATGAACTGTGGCAAGTGTAATCGTATAGTGAACTGTGACAAGTGTATCGTATCATGAACTGTAGTGTAATCGTATAGTGAACTCGTGACAAGTGTATCGTATCATGAACTGTGGCAAGTGTAATCGTATAGTGAACTGTGACAAGTGTAATCGTAGAGTGAACTATGGCAAGTGTAATCGTAGAATGAACTGTGGCAAGTGTAATCGTATAGTGAACTGTGACAAGTGTAATCGTATAGTGAACTGTGGCAAGTGTAATCGTAGAATGAACTGTGGCAAGTGTAATCGTATAGTGAACTGTGGCAAGTGTAATCGTAGAATGAACTGTGACAAGTGTAATCGTATAGTGAACTGTGACAAGTGTAATCGTATAGTGAACTGTGACAAGTGTAATCGTATAGTGAACTGTGACAAGTGTAATCGTAGAGTGAACTGTGGCAAGTGTAATCGTATAGTGAACTGTGGCAAGTGTAATCGTATAGTGAACTGTGACAAGTGTAATCGTATAGTGAACTGTGGCAAGTGTAATCGTATAGTGAACTGTGACAAGTGTAATCGTAGAGTGAACTGTGACAAGTGTAATCGTATAGTGAACTGTGGCAAGTGTAATCGTATAGTGAACTGTGACAAGTGTAATCGTAGAGTGAACTGTGACAAGTGTAATCGTATAGTGAACTGTGACAAGTGTAATCGTAGAGTGAACTGTGGCACCCATATGATGTTAACCCAGTAATCCAAATGCTAAACAGATGTACAATATCATGTTTCATCTTGATTAACTCTACTGCGTGTATTTGTGTAGAATGCGCACTATAAGAGACCTCAAGTCATTGGTGGGCAGTATTACAGTATAATATCACTAGGGAACAAAGACTGGAGATGTTGCTCTTTATCCCTCTCCTCTTTCTAACCCAATCACGCCTCTGGGTATGCGTTAGTTACTCCAGGGATTGCTAAGTCTGTCCGTTTGTTTGTTTGGTGTTCTTCCTCGTCCTGGCGATTACTGTGCGGTCTTGTTACTAACCTGTCTTTAACCTGTCTCTAACCTGTCTTTTCTAGGTGTTGAGGAAATATATAAATAAAATACTTGAAATTATAATCAACGTGTAGAGGAATATTTAACAAACAGACAAACTTGATAACACTCATGTCTTGATATGGAAATCTGACCAGAAGGTGTTAAGTTAAGTATCAATCTCAATAATGTTTACAGTACTTCTCAACGTAACAAATCTATTTGTATAATCTGTGTGCTAGGCTGACTACATTACCACACTAAAACGAAGTTATTATAGAATCTTTAATGACGTCTATACTGTATATAACCCATAGCTAGTATATATTAACGGTATAATGTATTATATATCATCATCATCAATATTTATAATTAACTTTCTTATATCTTGTTTCTGTATATATTTTTTTCTCATATGGATCAAAATTACGAAATACCAAAAAATCGATAATTCTTCAAGTATATAATAAATAAATAATCATTCATGTATTGTTATAAATGAATACATGTATAAATACTCACCCAAATAATCTTTTTTTTAAATTTATAAAGTAATATTTATAGATAAAGATTTTATAGTAACATGTCGTCACTTCCGGTGTCTCGTTATGGATAAAATTTACAAGTGATCGCGGGCCCTTCGTGCCCTTGATTGAACGCTCGTCACAGCGTACAACGAATGAGGGTGCGCCAAGTCCGTAGACTTGCATGGTTAATTATGGTGCGCCACGTCCGTAGACTTGCATGGTTTCCATCATAAATAAAATTGTTAATTAATGCCTTCCTAAAGAAACCATCGACATGGGACCAGGTTTGTTCCACTCTATGAAAAACGATTGTGCCGTTTCGGCTGCCCAGAACAGACAGACAGACAGACACACGGCTATTCCTATAGTATATTAGATAAATCTCATTTCGATTAAATATGTCGCTATACTCTATCATACTTCTTCAAAGGTTCAATTATTCGACCACATGTTTGGGACTTTGAGAAATCATAATATTGTATTTTCTGGTGTTTGAAGTAATGTACAAAGTAAATGGATCTCTCCTCTGTAAATCAGGATATGAGGTCTGTGAATCAGGTTAGGCTAGGTTAGATTAGAATAGGCTAGGTTACTATAAGGTAAGTTAGATGAGATTAGGCTAGGCTCGGTTAGGTTAGTTTAGCGTTAAAATGATTACTCTTCTGGTTGAATTAAACTTGGGTGTGTTAATCTTTTGGTGATCAATCATTTCATTTAAGTATGAAAAGAAAATAAGCTTTGTAAGAAGAAGTGATGTTGATGTGTGGTATAACAAATACCCTGTAAAAGGAGACTTGATCTAACTGGTCGACTGCTACTGTTATCTCTGGTGACTGTTTTGTTACCCTGATAGAGAGTTTAACAAGGAATAATTAATGTCTACACCATTGTCATTCCATTATTACTCCACCATTTAACTAATTACAGGGAATAGCACATTACATAAGCTGTAATTTGACTGAAGGAAAATTTTTTAGTTAGTCAGTGGCAACATTATTGGCGGGTCAATATCGTTGAAGTCTTATAAAAAGATTACAAATTAATTATTGGAACGTTGAAAACTGCTGTCAACATCACGGTACTGGGTAGTGACCACAGGTGACGATATTTTTTTTTAATCTTACAACAAGATAATTTTTCAGGTTGGGTTTTTAGGCAGGCTATGTTTAGGGCACCTTTTCTAGCCCTCTCCCCATGTGGGGTGAGCAGAGTGGCTCCTCGAAAGGGCTGCTCAGTCACACAGACAGGATCGGATTGCAATGCTGCCTAGATCTCGGTGCATAAACGACCATCTTATTTATCTGTGCCGCCCATGTGCAGAGTTGTGACGAGAGACTCCCGGCAGTCATCTCTGCCTGTCCTCGTCGCCACTCGTCCGTCGCCATAGGACTTTTGGGGGTATCGGGATTTTGATGATGATGAGAGGTATGATGAGCTGGATGATGGCTGGTTGATTTACTGTATGTGGTGAGGCAGGAGCGCAGGCTGCAACCCGCACATCTTGGCTATTCCTTTTCCTGATCCAGTGGTGCAAGTGTTTGCGCAGCGACTGGGGGAGAGAGCAAGCTGCAATGGTTGCCCGATAGCCCAGTTTGTTGGAGTTTCGCCTTAATAGCCTGTCCATCATGCATTGCCTTCGTCTGCCGGTGGCCCGTTTAGGTTTCCATAATTGGTCACCTCTTCCGCCTATACCACCGTTAGGGTTTTGTTGGAGCTCTGTAAGCATGTCTGCCTGATACAGGGCTCCACTGCCAGATTTTTCGTTCGGGGGTTACTCCGTAGCCTTATACCTATCATGGTTAATCCGCAGGCAGCAGGGCAATGGCTGATAGGCGCCCAGAACGTGTCCCTGCTACTCAAGATCCCCTGCTGGTCTAGCCTGGGCCCTGAGGCACCCAGTTACCGTGTGATGTTGCCACGAGAGCACAGCTGAGTCTTGATAGTTAGGAGGCTGTGTGTGTGCTAGCAGGAGAAGGTTATACAAGTTACTTCCCTGTTCGCCACGATGGTTAGCCAGTGGCAGCAGCTGAAAGCGAGAGGAGCAAGCAGTGGCACCTTAAGACTAACATAATGCTTGCCACACTAGACGCATTTTCACCACCTGTTTGCGACACACACACACACACACACACCGTAATGAAAAACATTACCAAAACACTTGACTCCTTTCAAACTTTTTTATAATTTCTTAGTGTAGCAGAGTGTATCAAAAGGAATAGGAGGGCGTGAGTAACCTTATTGTTGGACACGATGTAGGAGGATAAGAATTTACTCTGTACACTACACCTCACCTCACCACACCACCACATCCTGTAAAACTGTGTGCGATAAACAATATTGCCATTTTTCGTTCCCATAAAAGGTATCTTAGAATATGGTGTTCAGAAGCATCTTTAGTGATATGCTGGAGTCAGTTAAGATGGGTGTCGATGTTAATTAGTGAAGAATAGATACGTGATTTAGAACCGTGGGATGCTGTCCATGTAGAGTTTACCTTTTAGTTGTCTGTACGTGTGTGTGTGTGTGTGTGTCAGGAAATCGAAAAAGGTACAGTGCTACATGAAGAAGATGTTTAGTTAGTACACCAGGTACTACTGCCCCCAGAATCATAGTATAAAATTTGGTACACTCACACTCACAGGTTGACCAGATGTAATGGCACGTATGTAGCCGCTCAGCCCTAGACACAGCGAGAACCTGGGCCACACTTCAAGTCGTAAATTTTGAAGCTGTCACGTAAAGGCCGACGGAAAAACACACACACAGTTATAGAACCCAAAAACACATGTCTTGAGTTTCATGAAAAAAAATTCCACGAAATCTTTGAGTAAGCTTACTGGCGGCCAGACAAGACAGGGAAGAATAACATAACATCGACAAGGGGCCGAGATTAACGGGATCCAGTGCTGTTTTGGGTCCCCTTTATTCAAACTCATATCAACAAAGATGGGATGGGAGAGGTATAGTGATCAAGGCGAAAATATGACTAACTCTATAATATTGCCACTAATGTCTTTGTATTGTGATCGAGAAGTATGGCGACTCGTTTTACGGACTTACTTGTTGAGGGGCATTACCTGATGCATTATATAATGCCATCAACTCGTGGGAGAGAGACAGTCTTAGTGTTGAGTGGGTGAAGCTTGAGAGGTCATCAAAGAGCCCCTGTCTGCTGTGGTGGAGTTTATCTGCAAAAATAATATGATAATTATTATTTTTTGTCAGTTATCAATAGCAATAATATGAAATTATTCCCAGTGTATGCGTTTGTGTTATTCTTCCTCCCTATTATTCATAATTCCTCTAGTCACTCCCTCAAATACAAACAGCGGAGATACAAGTATACTCAAGAGCTTGCAATCCAAGTCACCAGAAGATAAGATAAAACTCAAAGTAAATCAGATAAAATCTAACCTAACCCTAAATTAAAAAAAAAAAAAGACATCGAAAAGAATGCATTAGATGGTATGAGAACTAATGCCACGTGGCGACAGAGAGGCGAGCAAGAAGCTTACACACTGATTATGGGAAGGATAAACTGAACTGGACTTACACGGACCACAGGAACATCGACCTGCTGCAGACATATGTGGCTCGGTGGCGTAACGTTAAAGTGTATTGACGGCAAGGAAAACAACAACAAAAAAAACATTCGAGGTGGAAGCCAAACTTTATCATAATCATCTCGAGTAGAGGAGGAGAAAGGGGTGATTAAGTCCAGTGAATGACCTTTGATCCTGCAAGTGTCTGTGTGAGAATGGTGAGGTTAGATATGTTAGTAGTTAATGTACGGTATGCTTAAAAAAAAGAACCTTAGTTGTCGATGGAGATAAAGAAGTAAATAAATGATAACTCCTCCATGCGATGTTTTTTAAAGTCATTCTATGTGAGAAAAAGATTCCGTGCCGCCTTGGTCTCACCCTCCCATACAATTCCACGATGTCTTAATTAAATACCAACCACATAAATAAAGCTCTTTTATCTGTTTATTTTTTTTTTGCTTGTTTAAGTATATTTGAACATAATATTTTCTAGCTTCTTTTGTTTTATTTAAAAGTATAAGAAATAATTAACTGATATCAGGCTAACTATTATGGATATTTATGTTCAACCTTCACTGTGCGTGAACGATCCTAAAAGGTTATTACAGACCAAGTTCAACCTGACCTGACCTAACCTACTGTAACCAAC